TGAAGGTGTGCTAGTGTAGCAACCAGCATGTCGTGCCACTCGTGAGACGGCCTGCCGCATACCGTAAACCAGGCGCCGGAGTAACCACTCGGTCCCAGGCGGAAATGAGCCAGAGAAGCGTGGCGGACGACGCGTGTAGATCTGCTTGTGCCAACAACTCGTAGTCGCGCTGTGCTGCTACGTAAAGCATCGCCCGAAGAGTGGTCATCGGGTGAAGGTTTGGAAGAAGTCAACTCCCTCACGCTAACTGGAGCCTCTAGCAACGTAGCGCGCCTTGAAGTGCCATCGGCCATCGAGTACGTTCGCCCCAGGTGGGGGAACTGCGTCGATGTACGCGCCGGTAAATCTCCAAGATGCCAACTCTGCGTCCATGGCAGCTATCCACTGAGAGGCATAGGTGCGAGGGGTCGAGATGTAAAGAGCGTCAGGGTCACCCTCAGGGTCTAGCAGCATGGAGCAGAGATGAAGAGTGGCCTCGGAAAGCTAGCTCGTACTGCCTGTCCTCTAGGACGTCTCTGTCAAGGGCAGCTGCACCCTCGACGGACGGAGTACGGGGAGGGTCAGAGACCAGAGGCAAGAGGCAAAGTCAGCGACGACAACGACAAGAGGCGAGAGGCTAGAAACACAAACGGACGGGTCGGTAACGAGATTGGCGAGGACACGAGGGACCAGAGGGCGAGCAGTACGGAGGAAGTCAGAGAGAGGAGGCGAGGAGATAGAGAGGACGAGTGAGGAGGCGAGGGGAGAAGAGGAGCAGGAGGAGCACGAGACGCGTGAGAACGGAGGCACATAGGGTGAGAACTCGGGACAGGAGAGACGGGTCGAGCACGAGAGGGACGGTTAGACCAGAAGTGGGAGGGAGGCGTCGGTCAGGAGACAACGGAGAAGACACAGGAGTATAACGAGGTGGGAAACGAGCCTAAAACGAGTCCGGCGGAGGGAAGACATGGCGATAGACAGGAGGAGGAGACGACGCTGGGGAAGGCATGGATGGTCGGTTGGGGGGAGGGAAGACCGAGGAGGTGAAGGGGCGGACACTGGCGCCGACTTCTGCTGCTGCTACTGCTGCTCCGCGCCCACACCAGCACCTCTAGCCGCACCACTGCTACCTCCAGGGACTCGCCATGACAGCACCCGCAGGACTAGAACCCCCAGGACCAGCACCCCCAGGACTAGCACCCCCAGAGCTAGCACCCTCCTCGGAGGCAGCACCCCCAGCACCATCACCCCCTGCGCCCACTGACCCCGGCAGCAGCAGCGGCTGCTGCTGCTGTTGCGGTAGTGGCAACTACTGCTGCGACTGCTGCTGTTGTGGCGGCGGAGGGGAAACCGGGGCCGAGGGTGCTGGCGTTGCAGACACAGGCAGCGAAGGAAGGGGGTGATGTGAGACACACCGGACGGGGCAGGACGGGGAGCGGGAGCTATCGGGGGAGTGGGAACAAGGAACAGCGGGAGCTACCGGGATAACTAGGAGTCCTCGTGGGGGAAGCGGGTGTAGAAGGAGACAGAATCATCAAATGTAACATCTCGCACGTGAAAGTAACTGTGATACGGCTGGTAATAGAAGCGCCAATCAGAAGCATCTAGAGGGAAACCATGGAAGACACAAGGGACGGTGCAGGCGGTGAGCTTGTCAGCGCCAGATGTGAGAGTACGACCCCGTTACACTTCTTTCTCATTTCCATATTTATCCGCTATCTCATTTTTCTTTTTATCCTGATTCATTTGGTCTTTATCTAATCTAATTTGGGTTCCTATTCCTCATTTCCCATTACCATTTGGTTTATCCTATTATTATCATTATAACACCGACCCGGCTCGGGATGTACTAGCACGCTATATCTGTCGTAATCCCTTAAAGCTAATAGCCTCGCGTGGCTATACCCAGGGTGATTCTATTTCTAGAAGGGTCTATTCCCTTTGGATAAGCTAAACTTGGTTACCTGATGTACCTTGGAAGTATAAAAGTGCCTTGTATCAATCGATAGTGCAACTTTTCCTAGACCAGTTCGATCTTGTGACACTTGGTAATCAGAGCTTCCTCACTCGGCCACGCGCTGCTAAGCAGCAACAGCGGGAAAACCTGCCTAAAAAAACCGCCGGGGGTGACTAATTCGGCGCCGATTCTGGTAAGCACCAGCACCGCGTTTTTTTAATTAACCCCTCCGCACGAGTTTTGAACAAGGTGGCAAACTTCGAGAACACCGAAGTTACCCAGCAGCTCTTCGCGCGCATCACCGCCCTACAGGAGGAGATGCGAGCCGACCGCAAAGCTTGGCGAAGGGAGTTCGAGCGAGTAACGCTACTCGCCAGCGCGCAGCACGAAACGACAACAGCAACAACGCAACAATCACAACAGTTTCTTGAGGCTCTGAAGTTGCGCCCACCTGAGCCATTTGATCCGAGCGATCGAAATTCCGACATCCGTAGATAGATCGCTAGTATGGAGATCTACTTCGCAGCCGTCGGATGGAGCTCGCCGGTCTGGAACGGTCAGCGCGTGCGACTCGCGGTGACACTGATGCGACCACCAGCACTCGAGTGGATCGGCGGCAACAGTACTTTCATCCACGACGAAGCCACGTAGCAGCAGTTCTGCACCGACCTGGTGGAACGTTTTGAGTCGATAAATTCCGGTTTCCTTGCCCACGAAAAAAATCCTCGCCATCGACATTTTGGGAGTGTAGCGCAGTACACGCAGTAGATGGAAGAAATTTATAACCGCATTCCCGACCTGACCGAAAGGGGAAAAAGTACAGTCGTATCTCGCCGGGCTGAAGACCGAAGTCAAACGATAGGTAGAAGCGACAAATTATGCAAGCTACAGTGACGTCGTTTCGGCAGCGGAGCAGTTTGACATGGTCAACGCCGGAACACGACGGGCGCACGTCGGCAGTGCATGGCAGGGTGACTGCTCGGCTCACCCTACGTTTGCCGACCCGATGGAAATCGACAAGTTCGACGGGCGGCCACGTCCGAAAAACACCAACTTTACGTGTTATTTTTTGCGGGGTGCCGGGCCATCGAATCTTTGACAGTAATAAAATGAAAGCCGCACGTGCAGAGTATCGAGCGCGCAACAGTGGTGGAAGTCCTTCGGCCAATCAGAAGACAAAAAATAGGAATCGCCAGTGATTGCGGATCTAGCTGGCGAAAAGGAAAGATCCGAAAGCGGCCGCGAGATTCAGGAAAAGTCAACTTCAATGAAGTTGATTCGACGCAAGCAGGGAAAAATGATAGGGGAAACTCTCCACCCCACGACCAGTCTTCGCAAGGGAAAATCGCGGAGAAAAAAATTGACCCCACGAAAAAAGACTTTGCCGAGACAGGGAAACTCCTAGAAGACCGAGGAAATTATAAGGATTCGTAAAATTTATCTTATTAAGATGCTTTAATGAAAAATTATGATTCTTGAGGGGCTAGAGCCTTGGAGAAATTTCGGGAGGGACTCCACAAGAAGCAGAAAATTGTGGAGATCGTACCGGTACCAGAGAACTTGGGGAAAAAATTAAGGAGTGTGGAAAGAAGCCGACCTTTCTACGGAGTCAACGTCCTCTCCCGACACCGGCCCACAACGACTACCCGTTCCCCATGGAAAACGTCGGTGGAGCTGAAGCAGCTCAAGAGGAAGTTGGGGGTCTACAAGAAGCTGCAAGAGCCCCGAACTCTTCCTTCGGATGCATCCAACTCAACAACTTTGGCATCAACGACACACACAGTCGTCAAGGAAACTCCGGGCCTTGGAGAAGAGCCTTTCTCCAAGCAGTCTCGGCCAGCTGCCAGCTCAGGAGTAGATAGCAACGAAAAGGTGTGTATGGAATATTGGGATGTACCCTATGTTCCTATTAAAGCCGGTGGCCCAAAACGTGCAAGATTAGTAAACATGATAGGGCAAAAAGTTGGGCACGGAAGCGAGCAGGGGCGTAGAGTAGTGGTGCGAGGTGAACAGTGTACTTCGCCAACGAGCGAAACTTGCCACACCATGCGAGACAAAAACACTCTTGACGAAACCTCATAAGCCAATCAGGGCGAAATAAAACCGAGCAACGCCAATAAAAAAGGATAGAAGGGGGGGGGTGGGATGGGAAAGGAGAAGGAGGGGCGTGCAAGCCGTGGGGAGGGGGGGGGGGGGGGGGGGGTGATGAACAGCGAACAGCAGAAAGGCAAGACACGTAAGGACGTGGTGGTGCTGGGAAGATCGGGGTTGCGCAACTCGCACAAGTAATGCGTTTCGGCAATTTCCGCCAAACAACTTGGGGGTGGGGTGGCGCACGCGTGTCAAATGTTGTGAAGAAATTGCTGGTTTCGCGCCGCTACACGCGAAATTGCAAATCGAAAAGCGAAAAATGATATTGTGCCGGGAATCTGGTAATAAACAATTTGTTGTCGTTTCAGGCACATCGCAAATTGGGATTTCTGAGCTGCGCAACTTGACCCTGTTTTGCTGCTGTACCACGTCCTAAGCCAGAACGGTCAACAAGGGTCGTGTGCTGTGTGCGGTGCTTTCGTTGCTTCAGGGCTTTGTACTTCAGTAAAACATCCCCAAGTTCCACAACCCGAGTTGCGCAATTCTCGCCAAAACAGACTGGTAAAGCCATTTAAAAGAGTGGTCGAGAGGAATAAACGTTGTGAGTAGCGTAACTCAGCCAAGTTGCACAACCCATTTTTTGCACAAGTACCACGCCCTTAGGCGTAGTGGCCCTAGGCTGTGTTGCACTTGGAAAGTCCAAAATGTATGAGCGCATGTTTCAAGTTTCTTTCCGCTCAAACGCCTGATATATCGGGGGCAGGGGCGGAATTGGCTGGGGTGGCGCTGTTTCCCGTCGTTTTGGTGCGCGATTTAGTATTTTATCTCGCTTTGGGGAATTGGGTTACCAAAAGGGGGGTTCAAGATTAATAAACTTAAAACAAAATTTCTGCAATTTGGGTCAACGATTTTAATGAAACTATCTTTGGGTACTCCGAGCAACGCCTGCCCCTCGTGCTCGAGGTTATTTGCAAAGCACGATGCCTCCAAGTACTCGTGGACATCGGAGCATCACACACCCTATGCGACAAGGCAGCAATCGACCGACTTCGGGAAGAGTACAAGCCTTCAACATTCTCTGCAACGATGGTGGACGGCAGCAAGTTTCCAGTATACGGCGAAGCAGTGTTACACCTACAAATCAGAACACTGCGCTGGAAACGTGCACTCCCCATCACCAACATAAAAGGGCTTGACTTGATCTTCGGGCGAGACTTCCTAAAAAGATTCAACCCCGAGATCAACTGGACAAATCGTACCGCAAGCATCTACAACAATGGAAGGAGAGTCCAGCTACCCAACTGGGATGATACAGAAGATATCCCAATGGAGACACTCACAAGATTCGAGAAGGACGTAAAGCGCATCGACATCGGGTTCTTAGAAATAGCGACAGATGTGGAAAAATACGGGGAGAAAACCTCGGAACCTCAGGAAAAAATCAAGGAATTACTGAAGGAGTTCCAAGACATTCTTCCTGACGACCTTCCGAACAAGCTGCCGCCATACGGAATGCACCAACACGAGATCGTGGAAGAACCATGTTCAAAGCCGACCTTCCGAGCACCATATCGGCTCAGCCCCATGGAGCTAGCCGACATGAAGAAACAGATCGAGTATCTCCTCGCAAAAGGACTCATCCGACCATCCACTTCACCATACGGTGCCCCAGTACTCTTCACACCGAATCCAGACGGAAGCCTGCGCATGTGCATCGATTACTGAGCTCTCCATCAAGAACAAATACCCAATTCTACGAATCGATGACCTGCTTGACCAACTTCGGGGAGCCACAGTATTTTCCAAATTGGATCTGCGGTCCGGATACTGGCAGATACGAATGGCGGACAATTCCATCCACAAAATTGCCTTCCAAACGCGGTATGGGTCGTACGATTATCTGGTCATGCCGTTCGGACGCACCAACGCACCGGCAACCTTCCAAGTCGAAATGAACCACATCCTACGCCCACTCTTGGACGAATGCGTGGTGGTGTACCTGGACGACATCCTCATCTACTCGCACGATATGAAGCAACACGTCAAACACCTGCGACGCGTCTTAAAAAATCTTCGACGAGAACGGTTCTACGTCAAATTATCCAAGAGCGAATTTGCCCTCAAGAATGTCCAATTCCTAGGACACATGGTGAGCGCTCAAGGAGTTCACGTCGACCCCAAGAAGATCGAAGCCCTACACACGTGGAAGACACCCGAGAACGTAAAGGAGTTGCAATAGTTCATAGGCTTTGCTAACTATTACAACAGGTTCGTGCCACAGTACACAAACATCGTTGCACCACTCACAAATCTGCTGAAAAAGAACATGCCCTATCGATAGGAATAAAAACATAAGGAAGCCGTGGAGTAGCTGAAACAAGCACTCATGTCCGCACCCGTACACATCTTGCCAGATCCTTATCGCGACTACGTCATCAAAGCTGACGCTAGCGACCAGGCGGTAGGAGCAGTCTTGATGCAAGACTAGGGGAATGGACTGCGACCCATCGCCTACCTCAGCAAGAAATTGCATGGGGAAAAATTAAATTACCCGATACACGACTAAGAAGCCCTTCTTATTATCTCGAAGGATGAAAAACAACCGTCTACACCAACCACTGTAGCCTGAAATATCTAAAGACACAGCCAAACCTCTTCAGGCAACAGGTCTGGTGGATTGACTTCCTCGAGACGCAATTCCACTACGACATCGTGTACAAGCCCGGCCACAAAAACAAAGCAGACGCTCTTAGCCGGCCTGCACACGTTGCCGCTATCCAGGTCGAAGGGATGAACCCACTACTCAAGGGACTCTTTACACACGGGTACACCATTGACCCCAAAATTCCCTTGGCAGAAAAGCGACACCTGCTACAGTGGGACAGTGACATTGCGTACCAGAAAGGATCAACGAAAATCTGGGTACCCAATTACCCTCCTTTGTGCCAGTTACTGCTCAAAGGATACTACGATGTCCTATATGCGGGACACTTCGGTAGCAACACGACGCTCACCGGTATTGAAAAGCACTACTATTGGCCCCACATGGCAGACGACGTTAAGAAATTCGTCACCTCGTGCGACACATGTCAGCGGATATAGAGCAGCAAGCAAAAAAAGGCAGGACTGCTACAGCCTCTTCCTATCCCAGAACAGCCATGGAAGATTCACAACGCCTTCCATGTCCCTGAGGTGTTGCGCCAGAACGGTGGTGACGGTAATGCCCCTGAGGCTTGCGCCATGACTCTAAACCCTAGATCCCAACACGGTCTTTACCGGACGCCAACCGCTGCCGCCTTTGCCCGTCCTCGTCCATGATGAATCCAAGTACGAGGTCGAGTATGTGCTTCCACACCGCCGTCGCCGGAATGGCACCTTGGAGCTTCTCATCCGCTGGAAGGGTTATGATCCTTATGAGAATACTGGGTCCCCGAATCTGATATGGGTAACGCTCGTCGTCCTCTTCACAACTACCTTGTCAAGTAGGGTGTTACTTCTACCACCTAGCTTTGAGGGGGAGAATTGTGAGAGTACGACCCCATTACACTTCTTTCTCATTTCCATATTTCCCCGTTACACTCCTCTATCTTCTTCTTTTTATCTTGATTCATTTGGTCATTATCTCATTTCATTGGGGTTCCTATTCCTCATTTCCCATTATCATTTGGTTTATCGTAATAGAATAATTATATCACCGACCAAGCTCGGGATGTACTGCGCGCTATATCTGTCTTAATCCTGCTGTAATCCCTTTATGCCAATAGCCTCGCATGGCTAGTCGCATGGCGATTCTATTTCTAGAAGGGTCGATGTCCTTTGGATAGGCTAAACCTGGTTATTTGTTATACCTTGGAAGTATAAAAGTGCCTTGTATCAATCGATAGTGCAACCTTTCCTCGACCAATTTGATCCTGTAACACTAGAGGCGCGGACATGAGCTAGGCAACCCCAGACGTGAAATGCAGACGCGTCACTAAGGGACCCGGTCCAAAGAAGGGTTGGCGAAACCTGCGGGCGCGAAGAGCGTGTCCACAAGTTAAGCTGGTGAGCGACGTAGCGAACTGCGAACGGCCACAGAAAATGGCGTGCACCGGCATGGATTATGGAGGTACGAGCCACCTCCATGACCAAACCGATGTGTCAGACACAGAAAATGGGGTGCATCAGCATGTATTATGGAGGTACGAGCCACCTCCATGACCAAACCGATGTGTCGCTCAGTAACCCCATTCTGCTATGGGGAGTCCGGCAGCGTGTACGACTGGGTGATGCCCTCCGCACGACAGAACTGGCCAAGCCGACCGGAGGCGAACTCACCGCCACGGTCGGAGTGGAGACGAAGCACTGGCTGGGCGCAGTGGACTCGAGCAGCTACAAGCCACTAGATAAGAATGCCAGGCACATCGGCCTTCCGCTCCAGAGGAAACACTGTGGTATAGCGCGATTAGTCGTCTACGAGAACCAGGATGTAGCGCTCGAGACGCAACCCAAGGACGGGGGCTGGGCCCCAGACATCCAGGTGCAGGGTTTGGAGTGGTGTAGTAGTGGGGGGAAACGAGGAGGAGTGAGGAGCTGCTCGCTGCCGGCCCTCGACGCAAGGAGTGCACGGAGGCGCGGGCAAGGGAGGGAGGGCAGGGAGTGATGCAGGGAGACCTAAGACAAAACCGTGCTGGGACATGTGAGGGGTGCGGGACGTGGGGTGCTGGAACGCGGGAGTGCGGGGTGACCTACACGGTGGTGCCAGAGGAGCGACGGGTGAGTGAGCGATCAACACGAGCAAGTCACAGCGACCTGGATAGACGCAGCTACCTGGGGAGACGTAGCCACCACAGGGGGCACGGTGTCCAACATGAGCAGGCAAGACATCGGGTCCTGGGGGAACGTGGTGAGGGGGGAACCAGTGGCAGCCTCAATACAGACTATGTACCGCTCGTGCCCAGGAAACGTTGTGGTGACGCCGAGGTCCTGAAAACAGCCGACTCCAACCAGGTTCCTAGAGAACAATGGGATGTGCAGACCTGTAAGAGAGCCTGAGGGAACCGCCGGACAGGGAAGGGTTGTGGAGCTACGTGCTACCACCAGACCAGAGGAGGGGTCAGCAAGGACAACAGCTGCTGTGGCGGCAAGCGACATGAGAGTGGTGTGGTCGCGAAAAAAGCAGGCGGACACACCAGAGTTTAGCGTGAAGGAGAGCACGGCGGCAGCATCAGCCGGCGGGGGCACAAGCGTGGAGCCAAGGCTAAACAAGTCCGGAGGTCCTACACCTGTTGCAGTAGAGGATCCTAGACTACACATAGACGACACACCTAGGATAAGCAACACAGGGTAATAAGGTCCAGTCACACTTGAGTCAGCAGGATACATTGCGTACAAAACAGAGCAAATATGATCTATATCTAGCTCAAAGACGACACACGGTGACGTACTAGGCTGTGCCAGTCCGGGAGGGACGGCGTAGGCCCGAAGCCGAGATTGAAAAGGTTGTCGAAGCGGCGGTAGCAGCAGGCAGAAGTGTGGCCAAGACGGTCACACACTGTGCCACGAAGGGGACCAGAGTAGATCTAGTACTGGCAACTCACCAAACTGGAGCCGCCACTTGACGTCAAGCTGCGAGGGCCGCCTCCGCGGCCATCTCCGCGGCCACCACCACCAAAGCCACCGGGCCACCACGTCGGTGGGGCCCCCCACTGCTGCTGTTGCTCCTGCTACTGCTCTTGGGCGTCTGCCCCCACCCCCTCGTCTCCACCTCCACCGCCCTCGCCACCCCCAGCACCCCTCCCTCCCCCTCGCCCCCTATGGGGCGATGGCCCTTACCCTGAAAAGGCTGTGATGAGGCCGCCGTAGCGATATCAGCGATAGGGACTGTCTCAGCGATAGCGGCAGAAACGTCAGAGTAAGTGCATTGGAAGGGAGCACAGCCCTGGAAGATAGGGACCCTCGCATTACCACTAGACTGAGCGATAGCGCGCTGGCGGGTCTCTATCGCCGACAGGGTGGCGACAAAGTCGGTAAGGGTGAGATCAGCAGGGTGGAGACTAAGGAAGGTGTTGCAGGCAGTGAATAGGCGGTCAGAGAGGCGCGTGGCTAAGAAATAAAGCATAGCGCCGAGGGGGGGGAAGTACAATGAGCTGAGCCTCAGTGCTAGCAGCGCGGTAGCTAGTCTCAAGAGTGCGCAGGTGAGTGGCAAGATCAGCGACAGTGGGAAGGACGCGA